AAACAAACGTTGTCTTCAAAGATTCAAAAGTAACTTCCGCTTCTTGATTCCATTGGAGTTTGTCTTTACAAGTCAAACGTGTAAGTGGAGCTGCAACTTGAGAGAAGTCTTTGATGAAGATCAGATAGTAGTTGGCAAATCCCAAAAAACATTGGATTGGACATCTCTTACCGTTTTTGAGATATTCCAGTCTATAATAGTTTGAATTTTTTTAGGATCCATCATAAGTCCATTATTTGAAATGATGTAATCTAAGAAATTGACTTGAATAGTGTGGAACACACACTTTTCTATCTTGGCATAGAGTCTTGCATCTCTTAATTTTTGTAACACATGACGAACATGAAGTTCATATTCTTCTGGATTCTTAGAATAGATCAAGATGTCGTCTAGATAACAGACCACAAAATCGTCCAAAAACTCTTAAAAAACATCATTCATTAGATGTTGAAAAGCTGCTGGTGCATTTGTAAGTCCAAAAGGCATGACGTTGTATTCAAAATGTCCCTACCTAGTTTGAAATGTAGTCTTCCATTCATCTCCTTCTTTGATGCGTACTAGATTATATGCTCCCCGAAGATCTATTTTTGTATAGATCTTATCTTAGTTTAGCTGATCAAGAAGTCTAAATATTAAAGGTAGTGGATACCTGTTCTTGATGGTAATCTTGTTGAGTCCTCGATAATCAACATCCATCCGCAATGATCCATCTTTTTTTTTCACAAATAGAATTGGAGCTCCTGCCGAAGATTTAGAATGGCATATGAATCTCTTGGCTAGATTTTCTTCAATATACTCCTTGAGTTCAGTCAACTCATTTTGTGATAAATTGTAGATTGGTCTGAATAGCGGTTGTGCTCCTTCTTGAAGATCAATTGAGCAATCATAGGGACAATATTTCGGGAGTGTATCCGCATTCTTTTTTTTCAAATACATCTTGAAATTCTTGATATTGGCTTGGAATGCCACTTGAAGTCTTTTCACCAGTAGAAACAGGTGTGACATTCATAATATATGGTGATTCTTTCATAACAGCATGCAAGAAAGCTTTTGCACCTATAAATACGGGTTTAATTGAACTGGACTTATGACTCTCTACTTCATTAACTACATTGTTAGTTATACTTTTAGAAAAAGTAAGAGTTTGAGAAATCCAATCTATTTGAGGGTTGTATTTTTCTAACCACGATAAACCTAAAATGACTGGATTAGAGGGAGATCTAATGATATTAAATACTACAAAACTATTATGACCATTGATTATTACTTCTATAGGAAGGGTTTCGTGAGTAATATCTCCAGAAGACAATGGACGACCATCTATGACTTCTATACGAACAGGTTTAGTTTTCTTTACTAAAGATATGCTATGTCTTTTAGTAAATTCTTCATCTAAAAAACACGCTGAGGCTCCTGAATCTAACAAGGTAGAGACTTTGTAATGTTTAGGTCCTAAAATAACATTTAATGTAAAACAAGGACAGGGCTCTGAAGAGAGAATAAGACCTTTACTAGATGTTGTGCAAGGTTCCAACCGCACGGTCCCTATTGTACCTAGACAAACTCGTTTTTTGACATGTTGTCTTCTTTTATAGCCATACTCCTCATTTTGTGATTGCGTCGTTTCTTTGAACAATGTTGAGCAGTGTGCTTTGATTCTCCACAATATAAACATAATCCTTCTTGACGACAACAAGTCTTTTCTTGCTTAGTAAGAGGTTTGAAACGTACTGCAACAATTTGCATATCTTCTACTTCCGAATGTATGTGTTGAAGAGGTGTTGGTGTTGCCATTGAATTATAGTAACATTGAGGTCCACTTGTATGGTTCTCAGATCGGAATTCAAAAAGGCAATTGTCGCACTTCATAGCAAAGTCAATTACTTGACTCAATGTTTGAGGATCAGGTAAGTTGAGCATTAATTTTTTTACCTCATATTGTGATCCGTAGAGAAATTGGCTAATAAGTGCAGCATCATCCCACTTGATATCAGTTGCAAGTTGTCGAAATTATGAAGCATATAACGTTACTGATCGATTGCCTTGTCGTAAAATATGGATCTTATTGGTTGCAACACGAATTGCATCATGTTCTCCATACATGGATCAAAACTCTGCCATAAAAGCCTCTAGATTATCTAATATTGAATCTCGTCGTTCAAGAAAAGATGAAAATCATGATAGTGCTGAATCTGAAAGAAGCGTACTAATGAATCTAACTTGTGATCTTGGAGTTGGATAGCTTTGGGATTGAAGTTCAATCACAAGTTGCACTTGATTGATAAATCTCCAAAACTTGGATTTGGTGCCATCAAACTTCTTGGGTAGGGTAATTCTTGGTTCTCTAACATTTGAAGGACGTTCCACCATAGGAGAAAGGACATAGTTTGGTGCAAATGTTGAAGCAGCTCCAACCATTTCTATATCTTCACTTCCTGCCAATCTTGTTGTTCTTTGTGGTGGTAAATTGAGTTGATGCATCGCAAGCATTAACTCCCTCAATTGCTCTTGCATTTGTGCCATTGCACTCTTCATTTCAAGAAGTTCTGCCATGATAACACTTAGAAGAGAGAAGATGTCTAATATCGCTCAAGACAAATAGAAGAGAGGACTTGAGAACAAAGAAAATACTAAGGACAATATCAGTTTAGAAGAGGGTAATCCGCAACTTCTAATATGCTTATATCTTATCAAGAAAAAGAGATAATCCACTCTTAATCAAGATTAGACAAAGCTCTGATATTGTAGGTGTACTCTTGTCAATCTGTCAAAGACAAGAACTCGATGAAAAAATAATTCAGACAAGTGAGCCTTCACTCAAAGAGAGGTAACAAAATATATATAAACAAGTATATATATTGAAAGAAAAACTGGAATGGCTATTGCCAAAAGACAAGAAAACTAGAGACCCTTGAAACTAGACTAAAAACAAGAAAGGAGTTGACAAGAGTGAAGAAGCCTTCACTCTCGTCTCTATATATACTATCTAATTAGGCGCTACATGGCGACATTCTAGAGGACCTCCAATATGTGTTGACTTTGTAGGACACATGCCTTGACTTACAAGGCAAGTTCTTCTTCGTGTGGGCGACATAGTTAGCTTGATCTTCAAGCTAACAACATGTGTGGCACATGGCCAACTTGTTGACTATGTTTCTAATCCAAAAGGTCAATTAAAGACACCTATGAAGTCAAAGTAGCCTCTATGAAGCTTCTAGAAAGCTTTTATATTAAATATTATAGAATTTACTTATTTTTATCTACTTTTACTTACTTCTACCTATTTGTATATGTAATTACTAGCTTACATGATTATGTCCGTGATAGGTTCTCACTTCCAACACTCTTTACTTATAGATGGAGTCTTCATCTATAATCATATTCATCCTTCTTTGCTAAATCCAACTAAACCCTAAATTCCTCTTAATCTAGCTGCCACCTAAAACCCTAGCTACCACCATAGTAACTTATTTTAATCCATTGTTAACTTTTGTCTATTAGCAACTTATTATGATTTAATTCTATGTGGTGGCAATTATGCAAGATCTTTGCTGATTTTCAATAGATATAAGTCTTAATTATATCTTTTTAAAGTTTAGAAATTGTTTTATAGATGTTAAACTATTTATTAAACTATTTATAAAAAAAATGTAAACCACTCAAAATAATTTGTTTAGAACTTTCTTACTAAGTATAGTAAGTTAATTCTTAATTTTACAAGCCATCTTCAAAAACTCTTCTATAGGAATAAAGTCTTGAAATTTCAAAGTTAATAGTTCGTAATTGAAATTCAATACCATAACAAGATCTCGACTTTCATATTCACCTTATAATGTTTTCCATATATTTAGAGAATCTTCATGTTTTATTACCATATCTACTAACTAATCCTTACATTAAAAGTCAATATTTTCATTGCCTTTGCCTTCATTTCTTATACTTGGATTTTTGATAATGTGCACCTATTGTATGAACATGAATATATCAATAGTGTGAGTTTCTTGATGGTGAGACCTTACAAGTTTTTTGCTTATAGAAATGTCTTCATCTTCAAACTCTATACATAAAAATTGTCTTTGCCAACTAATTTATTTGCCTTGCCAACTTATAAGAGATCATTGAAATTCAACGTATTCATTAGTTAATAACTCTCTTCAAGTGAATAAGATGTGTACTAATTTTGCTCATTAGCAAAGAAAGATGCATCTCTTGTAAGCTCTCTCAACCTTGCTTTGATAATAAGCAAATTTTCTATGCATAATAAGCAAATTGGCTTTATTTGCATTGAGATAATCATATATACATTTCAAACTCAATATGTTTGAAGAGATTAACATGCTTACTATTTTCAAAAATATGTTTGAACTATGAATCAACATTGATTGTATCTAATTTATAGCCTAACTGTGTTGAATACTGGCGTGTATCATGTTCATCTATGTACAACATGGATATCGGCCTGGTAATTGCCGAGTGTGAAGCAAACCCTAGACGCAATTTTTGCCAGCGACAAATGCGTGCAAGGACAGAAGATCCACTAATGGTAGGGGAATTGGGTTGTACAATTGGCTATTTCCAAGGGAATCTGATGCGTGTCTAGTCCCACAGCATTGTCCTGCAACCTCCAGATGCGAATGAGCGATGAATTGTGTTCCTGTTCGAAGCCACGAGATTAAGAATGCTAACTCCATTTGGGAAAAAGGACCCAGTTAAAGACTGGGTGTGCCGAATGGAATCTTGGTTCGCTCGCAGCCCCCTTGGCGTCGGGGTCGTCGCGATGTTCATCATCCGTCATAGTTGTTGACCTGATTCAGGTGTTCATGATGCGTCCGCCTTCTCTGTCCCTTGCAAGCCTGAATACTTCATCATAAAAATAGCAATAAGTTTTTTCTTTCATAATTTTTCTTTGTCGGAAAGCTGCTCCTTTTCGCTCTTGGATGAAGTGCAACAGTTTCGATTCCGTTCTTTCGCGACCTCGCAGTTCAACTTACTTGACCTCCAAGGCACACTAGGAGCACCTTCATAAAGACCTACCTCTGTAACGATCCCTGTCATCTCCGTCATTTCACAGCATCTCCATCCGTATTCGCGTTCCTTGTTTGGAGAGTAGTGGGATCAGATCTCCATCTTCTCACTGTCGAATTGTTCTACTCCTTGGACGATTGATTGCAAGAGTAACCTTATCATGAACTTCATCCATGCTAGCTGCGAGACGATCGTACCATCGCCCCCTTGCACTCCTCATCTCATCACTCTCTCCAACAATGACCTGATCATGCCCCCCTACTACACAGGCTTCCTCTACTTCTTCCATGCCCCCACCGAGCCCGAGCACCGCGTGCGTCCCAAGTCTCTCCAACTCGCCCTCGCACGTGCACTTTCAGCATTTCCCCCAGCCGCGGGTCGCTTGAAAGCCAGGAGCAATGGCGCGGGCATGGACATCGAATGCAACAACCAGGGAGCTATTTTCGTGGAGGCCCACGCTACAGCAACGCTTGAAGATTTACTGAAATCAGGTACTTCTCATTCCTGTCACCAATATGCTATTCCACAATCTGGATCATCACAATCTGAATTTTTTTCGAACGATCACCCCAGCAAGGGGCAGGTGCAATTGTCTGCTCATTACCAATTTTAGCACCAGCGACGGGCCTCTAAAGGAATCAGCATCATATGGACGTAGCCATAGCTAGCAGTCACTTCATTACGAATTAAAGGTGGGAAAGGATTGAAAGATTTCCCGTTTCGATGCAGGAAACAGCAGTGCACGAGGTAGGGATACGTTTCAGCCGAGTCCGTTGTGGAAATCACTTGCGCCTGACCCTAACGCAATTGATCAAGGACCTACAGAGAAACCTCTTCTCTTTACGCAGGTGGTCTACTTTACTGCTTCTTTCGCATACTCCTGAAAGTCAATTTGGTTAATCCACGCCACACTGCTTGTGAAGCCATCTGAAAGTCGTGTGCGATTCCTTTGTTCCTGTTCGCCCAAAATACGATTCAAGGATGTCAGTGTTGAATGGTCCTTGACAACCGTCACATACCTCAATCTGATTGCCAGTTGACAAGGTTAGCTGGTGGAGGAGTGGTGTTAGCAGTCAAGTTGCATCACTTCGTTAGCGATGGCGCTGCTCAAGACTATTTTGTGTCATCATGGGCAGAGCTCGCACGGAACGGTGAGATCTCAGCACTCCCCTATCTAGACCGCGCAGTCATGAAAGCTCGAACCCCTCCATGCCCCTCGTTTGAGCACGTTGAATACATCGTCCATAAGGAAGTGCCCGGTGGATTTTCGAGCACTACAAAGCCACCTCCCATGACATCCAAAATCTTCGAATTTCGGACTGAGGATATTCTTCTGTTGAAGGACAGAGCCAATTCACATGACAAGAAGGACGCCTTCACAGGATTTCAGGCATTGGCATCTCACATATGGAAACACGTGACCAAAGCGCGCGGAATTGAACCCTCATGCGACATCAAGCTTGGCTGGGCAGTTGACGGTCGCAAGCGCTTCAATCCACCACTCCCTACAAACTATTTTGGTAACTCATTACGTCCTTTCTCCTGCACCTTGCTTGAAACAAGTTTCCGAGTATCATGGTGATGCCAATTAGTCCGAGAAGGTGGTGAATCATATTCCTGCGGGGAGATGGTGATGAAATGTGATCCTTGTGCAGGGAATGTGAACTTCTACGGATGTGTTAAGTCGAACGCAAGGGAGGTGGTGGCCAAGCCTCTCGACTGTGCAGCCACGAGCATCCGGTCTGCTACAAACCGCATTACAGACGAGTACATGCGCTCTGCGCTGGACTTCATCGAATCTCAAATGAATCCTTTCTTGTTAACAGCCAGTTTCGTAGGCACTGCGGATTTGGCCATGACAAGCTGGACTCGCTTTGCATCGTATGAGGTAGATTTCGGGTGGGGCAAGCCAGTCTGGTTTGCACCTCCCATTTACGACTTCGCAGGATTGGTAATTCTGCTGCCTCACCCAACAGACCAGGGTGGAGCAAACATTCTCATCGGCATGTTAGAGGTTCATATGAAGGCTTTGCTAACTGATGCTGAATTCTATCCTGTACGGTGACGCGCTTTGAAAATCTCCAGCAAAGTTGCATTCCAAAGTGACAAAATATGCACATTATTGTACATCACATTCACTCCGCTTATTATTCCTGTAAGGTTTCATGAATTCCTGTCAGGTCCCAAAAAGTGTTCGAAAGACCTGAAAACATCTGAAATAGTGCAACTGTCCAACCATTACCCCATGCCGGAACTAAAAATCCGTACACTTCCATGTTCTGGGCGAGTATAACACATCCGACAGAATGGGTGGAAATATCACATAATCGACTTCAAGCACGCCACACCTTAGGAACAAATACTTGCTAGTCATATATTACAACCCAAAATATTAGATGGTCATAGAGTAGCAGTATCATCAAAAATAACACACGAACTCCAGTCGGGCACATTGCAATTGAAGTTATAGTGCAAACCTTAACAAAAGTGAATCAGATGCAATGACTTGAAACTGGGTGCTCAAGCTCCCTAATGTACATTAACTATGCTTAGCATAAATGCTCCGCTGCAGATAACCACCTACAGACAATTCACAACCCCATATTCCCAATCCCACCCTAGCAAACCTCTTGCTTCAGCAAGTGTACAGAGCTAAGACATGTTCACCACCGCAATCCCAAGGACACCACTCCAACTTCCAAAACCACTGCAGCTACTGTAAGTTTGTGTGTGCATTGCATGCATACGCATGTGTACGGCTCCGAGATCATGCCCAACAACCTGCTCGCCACAAAGTCCAGCTCTGCAGCGAACTGCTTAGTAACCCACTTGGTAAGGCTATCCCAAAGAGCAAGTCCACACTCAGTCGCTGCCATCCATCATCTGAGCCTCAAGAAAATAAGGCACCAGCTTTTTTAAGTGCTCATTTTAATAACTTTGTTTCTCACGCTCATGTCCATCATCCGATATTATCCCTGGCACTCTCAACAGAAACACAATTCTCAGAGTCTTACTTCAAGTAAGAGAATGCACAATCATAGGCATCCATAGTACATATGAACACCTTGAACATAAGCAAAAGTGAAAATTGCAGACCTTGAATCTAGAGTCATGAAAGAAGTGACAACCATTAACTCTTCTCACCAACTTCTTAAGCTTCAAAATCTGCTGACCTTAACTACACGAGGCGGGGTTCCAGGTCGTGAGGCATTATTTCCGTATGAAACAAACTTTTGTTTCTTTTCTGCTGGTTTTAGGATCTGAAACGAGCACATGAGAGTATCGTCCACACTCATCATTGCACCCGCATTATCAAATTCACCACAATAATTTGGAGCAGAAAAAATGGTAACCAGTTGGCGCTTAGCGAAAAATTCATAACCATCCTCTACTACCTGTATGTAACATCCCACACAGATCAGCATAGTATACAAAGAATATAAAAGTATGGTGGTGGAAGAGACATGTCAATCGCATCGGAGGTTCAAATTCGTCGAACTAGAACTCAAAGACTCTAAAGCATCAACATTCATGCATTGCTTTGAACTTGCGAATGCAACAAACAGTCTCAAAATTAAATGTATCAAGGCGCAACAGCAAATCACATACTCAGGAATGTTCAAATCGAAACAGATTTAAAGAATGCATCACAATACTTGATGGGCTCGACAGATGAGATCCAAGTCGTGGGTTTGTAGAAACTCTGAGACAGTGTCTGGACCAAATGTATAGGAGACTCCTCGGTCATTGTCTCCCCACGTCGCCACATCTTTATCAGGGTCCGCCCATAGAAGGTCACACAACAAGCCTGCATCGGGAACATCTGTAGGTCGTGCAATCTTCTTAATCTGGTCCAAGTTCTTGAGATCTGGAGAGAGGCCTCCATGCATGCAAAGAATCTTCTCATCAATTAAAGCAGCCACGGGCAAGCAATTGAAACAATCCGTAAACGTCTTCCACAGCCGGATGTTGAAACGACGTTTACATTCATCGTAGAAGCCGTATATCCGATTGATTGATGCGCATTCGTGGTTACCTCTTAACAAAAAGAAGTTCTCTGGGTACTTGATTTTATATGCCAAAAGAAGACAGATAGTTTCTAGACTCTGTTTTCCTCTGTCAACATAATCCCCTAAAAATAGGTAATTAGCCTCAGGTGGGAAGCCACCATATTCGAACAACCTCAAGAGGTCAGAATATTGACCATGGATATCACCTGCACCATCACAAAAGCGCGTTTAAGCCACTACTTTGGAGAAGATTGTGAAACAATTATCTACAGGATATTACTTAGAGGCAAGTCTCATCAAAGCTCATTTCCACTCTGAGGAGTTGCTGCTTCGACCATCCACAATGATGGAAGTTAGTCATGAAGATTAGGGCTTAAGAAACTGCGGTTGGACTACATTGGACCCAAGGACCTCTAGGACTAAAAAAACCGATAATGGATCTCTTCTAGGACCTGAGAGAATGATTCGGTTTCCCGAAAAAGGTGTTGTTTTCCTTCAGTTGGGACCAACGAAATTTCCCAGTAAAATGGGGTATCGCTATGAGCTAATTTGGATTAGGACCCTGAAGTTGACTCCTTACGTACAAATTGCTGCTCTGGACCAATAGAATCGCTACAATTCGCGCTTACATTGTCCACGATCTGGAACCCTATTAGAGTATTAAAGAGAGAATCATTGATCCCCACTAAGTCGGGCACCCTCTAGTTGGATGGCCAATATTGACAGTTTCGTTTGCGAAGTTCGTAAATAGAAAATGAAATTATGTTTTCTGGTCACTACAATGTTCTGCAATTTATAACCATTTTAAAAATACAGTTGTGCATGAGGTATACACTCTTCTCGCTACTCTACTTTATATCATGAATGAATAATACTCCTCACATAGACCACATATCCTGGAAAATAAATAAGTACTAACTTAATTGCAATCACTACGTGCGAAAACAGGTAATGAATGACCAATAAGACTACGCATGTAAAAGACCTATTCAACTATCTCGTACTACTCAAACATGTCGTCACGACGACTGGTGTGTAGACGTTGAATGACGGACGCAGTGCAAGTTCAGGGCAAACCACAAATCTTAATTGGAGCCTCGAGCTCGAGAAGATTAGGCTGGGACAAAAATATGTCCTTCGATGCAACACAGAGCTGACGGATTTCAGCCTCCGACAGCTGCACTTGCTTGCCCGGCCTCCCAGTCCGCACCTCGAGCAGCCGCACAATAATATCATCCAATACCGCGATATCCATTCCCCTCCCTAGCAATTCCCCCCCACTTGAGGGACCTCGTTTTCACCACCTTCACCTTCAGTTGAATGATTAGAGCAGCCACTTATGCACCAGACTCTGCAAATCAAAGAGAAGAAGTCGTCCCAAAACACAATTAGGTACAATGAAAGCCCATAAACCCCAGCAACTATAGATTTAAAAAGGTACTATTCTTAATCAGAAGGGTCCATATGTAGAAGTGAGTAGTGGGAGAATGTTTGGAAAAGATATGCGCGACAAATAGCAACTCGACCGCCTGTTTAACGTGAGAAAAGGACTTCACATTAACAACAGCACCGAAATCGGGAGAGCCTCCCTACATGTGTGTCTGTGTAACTAACACGATAATCTAAGAGTATAGAGATGTAGGATTCGAACGACTCGACAGACGCATTGAGTTCGAATCACCCAACTCGGAGAATCGTCCAATTTAAAGAGGCAAGGCTAGAAATGGAAAATTGGTGAATGGTGATTTAACTTCCATGCAGCAAGATACTAGGGTTTGTAGGCAGAATACTCTTGTAAGCCAATATGGGCAAAACAACCAAAGAGCATGACATCGTCAACGAGGACATCACACCTACAGAAGCTCCACAAAAATAGACAAACTCACAAGAAAAATACACAATCTAGCTACCCTGAAAAACATATGCCTTCGTAATTAATAGGATGTACGCCTTTGGCACATGTTTCCCATATTACCATCTTTCGCGAAGACGAGCATGCCACGAGAAGTATACTGGTAGAGAGCTACGGAAAAGACGGCAGGCAGGACGGAACCCTAGAAAATTGTAGCCGCCAAAAACAAGCGACAATAAATGTCTCTAAAAACCATCGACAATGTTGAATAAGAGAATGCTGCGGAGCAGTTAGGGAAACTCTGACATAATGTGGAGGAGGCAAATACAGTAGCCGTGATGGAGGGAGGAGAGCTAAGGAGAAGCTGAAAAAACAACGGAGTGAAGTGAAGAACAGGCTTGCAACAATGACAAGGTAGAAAAAGCCTCGAGCAGTTAGGGTTAGAAGGCAGGGCGAAAACAATGGTCGTTCTTTCCAGCGAAAATAGGAGGTTATGAGGGGTAGACCTAACAACGAAGAACAGCACCCGTCCATAACAGCGTCTTCGTAAACAAGAAGGGTCCTATAAAAAGTAGATACTTTTCACAGGCACAAGAAAAAATTGAATATGATCTTCAAGACTGCAGCCACCAAATACAGCTTACTAGAAACTCCGCCGTGAATTCCTTCAGGAGCAGCTCATAAGCTGAAAGCTCTCAGAGCACATCACACGACGAAACTGCTTGACTAGGTCAACAACAGCAACTTAAGCAACTAAAGCTTGAAAATTAAAATTCAAAAATTAAAAAAAAGTCCCGAAGGTTTACATCCCGGCTTTCCACGACACTGAACCAGAAGCACAGAAACGAACAAACTCACCATCATCTACTTGTGAGTATCACTCCTGAAGCCATTAGACTCACAATCCCACAGCTCCTGCGCGAGATCGTGAAAATCGCCGTACTTGCAGCCCCGCAACAGTCCAAGCGAAATCCAAAAACAAAACACAAACTAACCCTCTGGACGTACAAGTTACGAAATAAATCAACTAAAAAAATGTTAAAAAACTATTAATCAACTCACACAGTCATCACACAAGCAGCTCTAATACACCCTACATCCTAAAAATTCCCCGCCCCGAAACCCCTCAATAGCCCCTTATCAAAAAACTGAATCACACGATCCGCCTCTCCTACCGACGAAGCAAAATAAATAAATAAATCCGGCACACAGCCACGAAAGGACCTCCATTCCAACGACGCTACCAAAGTGGACATGAAACCTCGACACAGGTTTTGAAGTAGGGGATGCTGGAAAACTTACAAGGTGTTAGGGTACGCGTCGAGGGACGGCCGCCTGGACGAATTCAGAAGAGAAGTAAGAGAAGAGAGCGGCGCCGGGAAGAGAGGATAAAAATGGAGTTCCGAGCACGCATGCATCGGCGATGGCGATCAATCGGCAACAGGCTCTGCAAAAGAAGTAGAAATCCTGGCCCTCGCCACGGCTCTTCTTCTCCGACCTTAGTCCATCCCAGGCTTGCCAGCATTCCCCCCCCCCCCCCCCCCCACAGCTCCCCTGCCTCCCCCTCCCCGTCCCTCCTCCTCCTCCAAATCTACCGATTCTGCTGCACCTCCGCTCTTGCCTAGCGGTGTTCCTCAGTCGAACATCGAACATCCCTCCCTTTCCGCATCTGCTTTCTTTACCTGATTTCGTGGATTTTATCATCCTTCGCATAACCTGGTCGATCCTCTGTTAAATTTCATGTGAAATCTCTACAGCGTTCGTATTTGGTCATCCAGGTACTTCATAGAAAGACAATTAAAACAAATCGTGACTATAATATATATATATATATATATATAAAAACATAAAATAAAATAAAATAAACACCCTATTTCTCACCCCCAGATGGGCACAGAACGTTGTTGTTTCCAGGGGCCCACCATGTGAGGAGGCACTACAGAAGAATGGGCATCGGAAGATAAAAGCCTGGAAAGGTCAAGTCCTGCGATAGATATCCTAGATGCGAATCTGAGATGCACCCACTGAAGACCAGGCAGGGAGGGCCCCAAATGAGAGAGCGCAGACTTCTTTACTTTGCCATGTGCACATTCTTATCCCAAGCATCTACACCGACACCAGATTTACTCGTCTCCGTAGATTTTAGGGGCCTCTCAGCCTAATCTGAGAGGGTGGTTCGATGCCACGGCTAGCCCGATCGATGTATGAGCTGGCCGTTCAATGCTCTGCCACTTCACCTTCGATGTATGCCATGTCATTGCTTGATTTTTCAACAGTGTCTTGGATGCTGTTGATGTATCATTTGACATCAAATGAATTTCGGCCTAGGAAGCATCACACCAAGTTCCAAGGTTTCTTTTTAATGTGGGGTGGGCCCCACTAATAGCATGGATATGGTCATAGCCAGTGTTTTGACACCAGATTTGCAAATTGGATTTCAGGCCCCTTGTTGTAGGGGGATCGAAGAACATGGAAAGTTGGGTGGGGCGACTGAGGGTGGCATTGGTGTCATGCCAAAAGCAGAAACGAGAGCATAGTGCCAAGCCTACTACCCTCAAGCCAAGAAGCGCAGTCCTCTTCAGCATTTACTGTGTACAGCATGTCAATCCCCTGAAGCACAAGTTTTGACGAATTCTTGCCAGTTGGGTAGCAGCACAAGAGGTGATGGATTGTTTGGAGAGACTCCGTGCAGTGAGCAGGAGGTGGGTTTGGCCACCGTCTGTGGAGGAGGCTAAGTGGAGAAGAGGGTGGTGGTGGTGGGTAGAGAGTCGAGGGGGAAGGAGAGTGGGGATAGAGTGATGCAGTCCTTGACTTTTCCTCCACGTCGAATGCGCACTGGAGACATTCCACCGTCCAGGTACCAAATCCAAATGGTGTGCAACTGTCTCAACCCACTTCCCACAAATGGACTTGTCTCGCAGTCTTTTGCCGCCTCGCCCTTACATCTTCCAAACAGCGTGCAACTGAATCCTTATACTGTATTTATACACCACTCTATTTTTGGACGAAAGGAGGCGAAGAGCGCGGACGAGCGGATTCAAACTCGCCCGACGAGACCCTGCAATGTAGCGCAGGATTTGGCTCGAAGGAGATGGGGGCTGAAGTATAGTCACCCAACCTCGGAGGATGGTCCAATTCTCCTGCGCCAGTTCAACATCAGGAGCGGATTTCGAAGCAAGCGTGATGACCATGAGGGGATCATCGAATAACGCAACACAGTAGCGCTACGTATTTCTTCTAGAGTATGCTTCGTACTCCAATGCTGATTGTTTCTTTATCTGCGACACCGCCACAAGTGTTGACAAGTCGCTTCTTAATTTTCCTCGTCTTACGCGCCATTCCTGCAGGAAGAAGCAGTCGGAGAGAATGAATGTGAAGAATCAACACAGGTTCAACTGCCGACTTCCAACACTTTATTGTTATCTATTACAGCCCTTAGTCATGGCCGACCATAGCAGGGCTGATCCATATCCAGGACTCCGCTTCTAAGAGCGCACAAGCTGATTGCTGGAATTGACACATTTCCCCCTTCTACACAATTGCTGCTTTGAAGTGAAAAACTAAGGAGTGCGTCTTGTTTGACGAATATGAACCATCCTCCAGCAATGAGTACGATAAGGTACTTGTCAACCGACATTGCTGTTGTAACTACGTGCTCCCAAGCAGCCATGTCAAATCACTTCTGCTATCACTGGATTATAGATTTCACTTCTCACACGGTCTTCGTTTGTGAATTCAATTAACGATGTGTTTTACAACATCTGATTTGGCAATTTCTGAATTTCACGCATGTTGATCTTGTCACCTGAATTTCGACATTTTTGTCGTCAAAGTAGGATTGAATCAGAGTTATTGATTCATCCAGAGTAACTGCCTTTTGAGTGTAACTGGTTTTCGTTACCAGGAAACCAAGGGGCTGAAACTTCTGCAATATACAGTTCTGCAGCCAATCATGTGCTTTCCAGGTCCCAAGAGTTTATTTAATTTTCTAATGTAGAAAATCTACTCCTGCATCTAGAAGCTTTGACAAAAGGTCGTCGACCATCTGGGGCTGCTCGAAAATAGATTCATCCAGAGTAGGACAATGTGTGGTACGACCTTTTCAAATGGTTTTGTGTTCGGTTCGCCTGGTAAGGAGAAGGTCTGCCCTCGCTGAGGGGGTAGTGCTGCATTAAATGGGACATGCACAGAATCGCACTTATGAAAGGCTTTTTTAAGTAAAACAATGAACATGACCATGCTCGTTGATTCTGACTCCAGTCATTAATCAGATAAGAGCAGACGTTTTAAACTCGGTCTTCGCCATGGAGCGACAAGGGTGTGTTTCTCCGTCACCACGCACCTCTTCGGGTTTGTGCCTTCAACTCACAGCTTTTGTGGGACGAACACACGCACCTTTGGTTTTTTCTCAACTGTTGCAGGTTGCTTATGAACCAAGTGGATCTCGTAGGTTGAGGAAGAAACGATGATATGCAACGTGATAATGCCTTGAGGGGCGTTTTCTTCAAGATCTTTGTCGTTTCGTAACTTGTCTCTGGCGTGTTTCCTCGCTGCATGGCCACATGGTAAGAAAACCAGGTGCAAGTGAGGCCTGGCAATTTGACAGGTCCAAACCAAGAATGGAAGCAGTTGCAGTTAAGCTGCTACCTTCGATGGTGGTTGCCTGGTTGGTGCGAAAACTAAACTGTAAATCAGACACGTTCTTCAATCCTGGTTGTGAAGAATTTACCACAACCTACATAGTTTGTGGAACACTCTTTGCTGGTCAAAGTCAAGCAGAAAACCTATCCAATAAAGAAATATCTACTCTACTCCCAATTTACAGCAGCAGTAGCCTCTTGTTCCTGATGCAAGGCACATAAACCTGTAAGTTTATTCACCTCATTTGGTGGAGTATAGAAGAGCCAAATTGAGCACCCAATTCTCTTGACCAGTCTTGTTTAGCAAGGATCAGGTATATCCACTTCAAAATACAATTGCTTTATTGAAATGATTTTCTTTGCTTGTTTTTTGTATTGTTACTTTATTTTATTTTAGTGAACTCAATAGAGTTAGTACAAGATGGGGCATCAAATAAGGAGAATGGGTGGCTTGTAAATTCTCATAAAATTATTAGGAGATTAATTAGGAAGTTCCAACATGGAATCTATTCAAGGATGTTGTGGGGTACAGAAGAAAATGGAGCATAATTTGTAGAGAATATTGAATGGATATACTTGAATTTTCACAAAAAAAAAAAAAAAAAAAAAAAAAAAAGTTTTAACTGTGAAATTTATAATCATTAGAATAAATTTTTTTTTAATATTATACTTTCCTTCAGCAAAAGTATCAAGTATTTATGTATTCATTTTCTTTAATCTTAATTTGTTTTTTTAGTGTTTTCAATTTTTTGATGCTTGCAAATGGTATTTGTATAAAAAATCTATCAAATTGTAAAATCTTGAGTTGTTACAATGGTGTTTATTGGGCAAGGTCTAAAAAATAATTATGCATTATGATACATGTAAGTAAATTTTTGTGCCTATAAACTAAGAATGTGGATGGATATGCCTCCATTAAGTTACATACGTATTGATTGATCACGTGATCATCACTTAACTCTAAACTGAATTCACAACTTTTTGCAAAGAAATTACAGCTTACCAAACTTAGATATAGAATATTAAAAAAATCTATACTTGATTCTTTCATTTAAAAAATTTTTATATTCAAATCATTTAACATAAAACGTCTTTAATTATTATTTTTTTATTGCTGTTAATAATTGTTTACTTTTTGTAACAACTTAAACAAAACTACTAGAAAGTGAAATCTAAACGAGGAGATCTTTTTTTTAATAAAAAATTACTACATACAATTTTTGTGATATGGATGTAATATTAAAAAATGTATATTGTTCTTTTGCTATTACAATATAGAATTTAAATTACATTTTAGTGTTAGAAGATTCTAAAGTCTACTTAGTAAAATAAGACAAGACATGAGAAGAAAGTTTCTTTTTTACTACAGATACTTTTAATTTTCATATTTTATTAGTAAAGTAGATAAATTGATCCAAATCTAAGTTCTTTTTGCTTCCTCATGTCCCAACAATCTAAGTTGTTGAATAAGTTTAGAAATATTCTAACAAAAAAAAGTATATTAACACAAAAAAATTAGACGTTTTAATATTAAAAAGTAAGTTTTAAAATATGTAATGAATGAAGAAGTTAAATTAAAATTAATACAACTAGCAATCATAAGATATTGGAAAACACTCACAATACAATTTGAAGGATTGTAATGATGTGATGCAATTATTTTCATATATGTAAAATTGATGTACAAACTTGACTAAAACAATCTTGTTTTTTATCTAAAAAGTTAGAAGGAAATGAATATTCAAAAAAAAAATACATTATATAATGTGTTTAAAGACTATTATTTGAAGCAATGATTTTGATTTTATTAAATAAATTAGAAACCAATACTTACAAGGCAAAAATGCTTGATAGGTCTTTGGAGTTAATGCACAAGGCAAACACAAGACCACAAGATTATAAAAGAAAGTCATGAAAACATCTTCTATCAAAGACTAATTGATTACAATCAAGCAAAGATAATTTTATACCCAAGAAAAAATAGAGAATAAAAATGATATAATAGTTTTATGACTTACCTACTACATAGAATAAAAATGTAAAAATAACTCAAAGAAACTTGTATTAAACCAACTATTGATCAAACATAAGTCTTAATGTTGAATTATGTATCAAAACTTTTGTAATTTATCAAGTAGAAGAAATAATCAAATCAAACTAAGTTGATTATGTTTTAGTCTCTTTTAGTATCAATCCAACATTCTTAATGCATAACATAGGGTTTTATAATGAGATTGCTTAAATTCAATAAAATATAATATTATTTTAAACCATAATGTTGGATTGACCAAGAAAAATAATTTGATTTATCTATACTAAGATTTAAACAACAAAAAATTTTAACTTACAAAAATAACTTTATACAGGAAGGGAGTTCATGCCCTAATCACTATTTAAGAAGAAATATTCCTCAAAGAAAAAAAAGCATGTTACTTGACTATTTTCAAAGAAATAAGTGGGACAATAGAATTAAAAGAATTCTTTTGAAAAAATTAAAATGATTCAAAACAGAAAGGAGACAATATACAACAGGGATATTGATCTTCTTAAGTATAAGCGGATGTAACAACCTTCATTGAGTAGTTGGGTGGTGATACGACAATCCCAAACCAAGACCTTTTATGGCACACAACAGAGATGACGACGACAGCGGAGTACATGGTTGGTGCAAGACTCCGTTCCAATTCTATTCGCTTCTTCCGTCTCCTCAGCCAATGCCTAAAGGTCGGTGACAGCTCTCAATCTCAAGCGGGGCAATGACTTAGTCCGAGAGTTGACCACTCTCTGCACTTAATCTTTCGCCGCAGTCCATCATCAGGTACTGCTGACTTGAAACTCAACTTCAATCCCTGGATATTCCACCTGTACTCTACCACACCCTTAACTCGAGATCACTGACGATGGAAATTTTGACGTTCCAAAATAGCTGACACAATATCCTGCTTTCGGTGTTGCAATACCCCATGGTGACGAAAGTACACTTTTGTGGTGGGACATCTGACCTATTCAGGTTCCTTTTGGATCATCACTGCACTTTGGCTCTCATCTTAGTCGAGATAATTACAGACCTACGCAGCGTAATTTTCCGTTGTAGATTGAAACCCAGTCAGCATCAAACCAACAGAACAGATAAGCTAAAAGACGGACGCCACAATTTTGAGTGAAATCTTCTGGTTCGAAAGTTGGGTCAACAAGCTAGTCTTGTGCAGTTTGTAAATTTGGTTGCTGGGGACTACTGTGGCACAATGTGAGATATGGCAAAGCATGGTATGACTACTGGGGATTGCAGGCTGGACAACACCTAATTTTCTTCATACCCTTGAGGATTTGAGTGATTTCTGTTCCTCGCGGATGCCACATGGAAAATCAATTCTCACCACGGACAATTCAAACCATGCTTCCAAGCGCAGCGAGAGACACTGCCTCCAAACACTATTATTGGTAAAACTAAAAAAGCGTTAACCGACATTGAATGCAAATAGCCTGTACAAAGAATGCCCAGATGATGAGCTTAAAACCTTACTTAGGACCAGTTGTGTGAGGAAATTGCCTCAACTGGTACAATCTACAACATGACCTATCGTGGGCTTAAACCTTCAACAAAGCTTTCGACGTCCCATCAAATGAGAAAGCTATCGCTTCAAACTTATATGGGCTCAACAGCATTAGACTTCGCAATTGGTAGCACGTGAGATACCAAGGGAGAAAATCTCTGATCCTCGACCATGTCATGCGACTCGTTGATCTCAGAAATGGCAATCGAGCTATTCAGAGAAGCGAGAAAGAGAAAAAAAAGAAATTAAGTTTGCTTCCTCTCCCATTTGCCCTCACGTCTTCCATCTCTCTCTCGCCGCTCCACAATTTGCCTAGGTCGAGCAGACCTTGGCCCTTGCCTGTGGCTGCTGCCGACTGTCCCAGCAGTGCTTCCTTCAACACCTGAAACTCCATCGTCATTCAAAGCAGCCCCGTCACCTGTTTCCCGAGATACCCCATTGCCTTCTCCGAGGTCTTCAAACCCTCCTCTCTCATCACTTCGGTCACGATCTCGATCTCGTTCCCGTTCCCGCTCCCGGTCACGCGCATTTTCTCGACCTAGACCTGACGAGGGTCCTCCATAGACACGAGAAGATGAGGTATTGGCACTTGCTGTTGTTGTCGATGCAGATGCAGACGACACATTGGTGGTTGCTGCAGTTGGAGTTGCAGGAGGCGTCGTAGCATTTTCACGCGCGCCTGAGTCACTGCTTGCCCGAGCAGCGCCCTCCTGTCCTGACCGTTGAGTCTCCCTTTCTCGTTCTCGGTACCTCTCCCGCGGGCGACTGAAAGAAATAAAAAGAGCCCCAAATTTAGAGCAACTTTTCTAACGACATGCTACTTTAAGCATTTCAGCCAAAATCTCCACGAATTAAGTCCGCCAATAATTCCTAGTTTCCAGGATCTGTTCTGAACAATACATACATAACAGCCTTAAAAGTGGTGTCCACACTGTACCTGATTGGTGTAGTGTTACTTGCAAATTCCCTGCGGGATGATGTCCGCACAACACCTGTGTCTCTTAGCTCCAGTTCTCTTTGATAGTCCTTCTACATAATCGTCATCAAGCCAACGTGTGCACGGATGTTACAAGTTTTACATTACGATTGGGGCCTGAGAAGTATCGGCACAACTACACTGGACTAAAAGAAGTCGCAACACCACCCATGGTTGCTTGAGTGGGACATTTCAATATATTTACAACTGGCATATATAACCACTAAGCGTCGCAGAATTTGCCCAGATTTAAGCAATCTACTAGCTAAAGTCACTTGAACGCTTGTAATAATTAGGTGAAGAAAACAGGACATTTTCAAAGATTCAATTATGGAATATTTTCAAAGATCAACAAAAAGTTTTTATTTTGGTTAGATGGAATTTCTGCTCGTCCAAATTAGGACGCTTGGACGTTCTAAGGTTAAAGTATACCTGCATCTCAAACTGTCAAGAAATCGTTACGAAGAGTTCATGAACTATCATACGTAGATGAATTTGAACATACCTGGGAACGCCGTTCTGCTTCGATGTCTAAGCTAAGCCTCAACTCTCGAGTTTTAGCACGCTCTTTCTCCAACATCCGCTGCCTTTCAATATCTCTTTCTGCTTCTGCTGCTCTTTCCCTTCATTGACAACACTAACAGTTAGATCCACGAACAGGCTCATCCGGTATCACTTCAAGTTACGTACTCCAGACTGTGAAAGTAAAAGGCATTGAGATAACTAACTTCTCAAGCTCTTGAAGAAGAGACATTTCACGCAGAGTTGCTTCTTCCAAGGCCTTCTGCCGATTACTGCGAGCAATGCGCTGCTTTTCACGCCGAGCAGCTACTTCAGCTTTTGCAGCTGAATATTCTCTGTCGAACTCGGATCCAGAAAAAACAATCAGATAAGGCGTTGCAATCAAGTCAAGGGACCGTACAAATTTCCAGTTTCTAAAAGCAATGGATATTGCTATTTCAATCAAAACAAATTACAAACAGCAGAATGACCATAAACCCACGAGTCTAAACATATGGAAGCATAGCCACAAAAAATTATCAACAATACAGCTCGAACGACTCTCAGCATGCTCAAAACACAAGAAATTTCGAGACAACAATCGAAAGAGATATACAAAGCCACACATTTTAAGATATAACAGGACTTCACGTACTCTGCAATAATTTGAGCTCGTATCTGCTTCAGACGATCCTTGGCGCTCTCAGAAGAGAAACCTGTAAGAATGCAAATGAAAATTCACTTACAAACTGAATAGACACTCAACCCTGGAATACTTCTTTTCAACAAAGATCATCCACATTGGCTAACTTTTTCGATGGCATGCATCTTGACATGTTTGTTGGCTACGAAAAGTAGACAACCAAAATGAAGGCCAGCATCGTATTCTAAATATCCTTCACTTTTAACTTCGTGAAGAAACAAGACGCAAAAGCATAGTAACTGCTGCTACTAACCGTACCTTTCCCATAAGTCAAGTCCAAGGTGTTAGTTAGCGCTCCACCGTCCCCACCTCTAGCTGCACATTCTTCTCTTAAAAGCTCAAGTTCGATTTCTGCTTCCTCCAGCTCCTACAGACCAAGAGTACAAGTTTTTACTATGCCCTCGAAAAGATATTTGGTCTAAAAATAACTTCCATTAATCATGATGCAACGGCCCTGCCAATACATTGTCACTAGTCACATGGATGAACCTCCAAAGGGACCACTTAAGTACACACCACAGCTTCTTGTACAGCTGCAGAAGTAGAAATTTCAGCCTTCGAACGTAGCACACTCAATCTAGCCAGTACCTGCGCAGAAATAAAGCAGAAAATTACGTAAATCTCACATGTAAATTGCAAAGTTTTGCAACTAAATGATAAACCTGCTATTTCCCTTCTATATGAAAACTGCACGACATAATCAAGAAGGGGAAACTTCAGATCGATACAACTTGAAGATCAACGTAAAATTTGATAAAGAAAATATATATATATATATATATATATATATATATATATATATATGAATTGGGCAAAAGTTGCTAGTGGTTTGTCAAGTGTTCTGGACTATCAGCGAACATGAGTACTCACTTCCACAACGGCCTCACGCAACGGACTAGAAAATGAATACGGCTGAGCAATCTCCTGAGAGCCTGTTAGCACCTTAAGCGTATGCTGCACACATCAAGTCAACCCACAAACATGTAAATAATACATTGTACTTCAAAAAGATCCAAAATATCTCCAAGCTGCAGAAATTAAAGACTAACGACGAGTCAATCAGATGGCAGAGCTAATAACACAGGCATATATAGTACGAAATCACAGAAAAACAATTATTCAGAGAATCTCATGAGAGCAAAAATTAATACGCTAACCAAAACCCACCTCTTTGGCATTTTCTTCTTCATTCCGCAACTGAACAAGAGCCTGACAAATTTCTCTCTCTTTATCCAAAAACTTACCTCCTGCATCACCTCATAGTGAATAGAATACTCCATTAGATTGTTATATGATGCCTGAGCTTTTCTAAATGCTTAACTTTCACGTGTAACCCCTAACTAAATGCTTTAAATGATGGAAACCTCAAGGAACGCCTAAAATTTCCAAGATTTTTCCGTTGACGAGTTGAAGCTCAGAATGAGAAACTTCGTTAAAAAAGAACTCACCAGATTTTGATAGCGCCAAAGCTTCAATACTATTCCAGACTCGAGATGGTATGATCTCATAATCGGGAGTTTTGGAGTAAAGACAAACACGTGCCAGCAGCGATAGACCCGTATGGGTGAGAGGTCCGGACTTGAAGATCATATCAAATGAAACCAACAGAGACCGCAGCTGAGAACTCTCCGCATAAGGTACCATTTTGATCAGAACTTCTGAAGCTTGCCTCCTTAACCGAACCGAGGCATCTGAAGTCGCAGTTGTGACAACAGGGATCCACATAGCTGATACAAAAGCCGCAATAGCAGATCTTTTCCCTCCCAAATCATCTGCAGTTTCACTCCTGTAACTCAAATTCTTTTCCTCGTCGTCGATTACTTTTTGAATCTGTTGTAGAACACCTGCACGTTGTTCTGGCTCAGGATGTTCTAACATCGTACTCAGGAGCTGTATCAATGCGCCTAATGCCCCAGCCAATGACTCCACAGTGAAGGCTTTAGGCAACCACTGAATAGGTAACAATCGCCACGCAACCCTCGGAGCACGAGTGCATTGTTCCTCAAAAATCGTGCAGACTTCCTGGTAAGTACCACATAACGATGGCAAAGAGAGTAAATACTCCACGCACGTACTAGCTACTTGCCAGCAATGGGCGTTCTGAAGGGTGTGTATGGATAAGGCCAGTGCTTTCGTAGACAGATAGCTTATAGCATCTTGCGTGACACCTGCATAATATAAACATTGAGCTGCTGCTACCGCTACACTGGAGGTCATTTTTGGGTGTAGTTTCATTGACATTTCTAAACCTGGACCCAATGCGAGTATCAGTTCTTGAACTTTCTGTCTAAACCCCAGCTTATCCAAGGAGGATTTATCACGTATAGATTGTGAAATGTCCTGTTCTTTAGGATCTTCAGGTACATCCAATGTCTCAGCAACTTCCGCTGCACCCACATCCCCACTAACAGCTTCAGAATCTTTTTCGTTAGCTACAGTACCATCTGTGGTCTCACCTCCTAGGGGATTATCCAGCGCCTCACATGTAACCGATGAATTTGCACCATCAACAAAAGAGTGTAATCCCTGTTTTTCAGGGGCATGATTTCTCTTCGGTAAGAGTAAATTACTCTCACCGGCAATCTCTTTAAGTAGAGCAAGGCACTCATTCAGTATCTTTTGTATAGCAGAAAGAGTATCGAGCGGAAATCCAACGGCACTTGTACCGAAGTTTCTAGAGGTGACCCAGGACTTAAGTGCAGTCAGGACATTGATGCGTTTTGTATAAGATATACTGGAAAGAAGGAATCCACAAAGAAAGAGAAAAAGGGCATCTTGTGCTCCGCTTCCTTCTTTAGACTTGTCCATTACAAACTTAAGCTGCTGCATAATGATCTGATAGGATAAGATTTCCACGGATGACTCTCCAGCATCTGAAGCATCTGAAATCGCATGAGAGATTATAGGCTTAAGAGCGTTCAGAACCGTCTCCAACAACGTCACATCACAGTAACTACTAGAACATAATGATGTTACAACTTGAAACACCCGAGAAAGCTCAGGTAGTATGGCTTCCACATGTTCTAGCATAATCACCTCCAGAAGACGCATGATTATGTAACGGGCATTCCCAAGAGTAAAACCTCTCATCTCCTGTCGAGCAGGAAACGGCTGTAAACAAACCTCAGAGAACCAGCTTAGCATGTCCGGAACAAAATTGCGAGGGATAACTTCAATACGTGCACATATCGATTGGAGTAATGTGTCCCCGAACTGACTGAACTCGGTTCTTAAGCTTGGAAACACACGACTAAGTTCAGGATACAGAACTTTCACGAGTTTTCCGGGATCAGTTTCTTTAGGTTGATCGAATTTACCAATAGGACTGCTCGTCGCAGCACCAAGAGAAGCTTTAACTGCTGCGTTACTTTCACCTGCTTCTTTGTATTTCAAGAACTCGATTGAAAAAAGTTCATCAGAAAATATCAGAAGCAGCGAGGACAGATCTTGAATGTCTGCAATGAGAGGAACACCATTATCGGTATGAGATTGAGCATACTGTGCCACTCCCATCCAGCCAGTGTAACGAACCAGAGGATAAGGTGATGAGGCGAATTGCGAGATGGTGGAGATCCATGCTGAGCCAGGAATCAAGTCTTGATGCAGCTTGCTCATTTGAAGGGATAGAGACAAGCTTTTATCTTCAGGAACGTCACCGCCACTTGCCAAGAGCACAAGCTTGCGTAACAACACCCATTGGCGACGAACACCATGAAAGGTGCCTGGCCCAAGAGAAAGGATTCCGTTCTGTCCTTGATTATGGTACTCCACCAATGAAGCATTCAACCGAGTTGCACATCCTAAAATCACATCGATCACATCCTCTGGGGTTGATGAAAGTTGAGTAGCGGAATGAAGTACAAAAAGAAGGCCTTGTAACAAAACCTCATATAGGTTATGACGATCTCTCTGAAGCTGGCGCACGAGAAATCGGCAAAGCATTCCCTGGCGTTGACGAACCAATGTAACTGCATCTTCAAGTTGTTTATCTTCTTCATCAACGCTGATGTCACAGGACATTCCATCACTGTTTGCAAAGCTATCCTCATCTTTGTTCGAGCCTTCGCCAACACTTGCTCCAAGAGTGTCCCATTCTGCTGCGCACGTTAGTATGTTCAAGACGGCTTTATCTCGATCTTCTTCTAGCCGGGAGAGCAAGTCTGATCCAAGGAGATCCCTGGGAGCGGCCTTATTGGAATTTGCAAGAGACTCGCCTTCTAATTTATTTACCAAATTGTTATACTCTTTGGAGGATATCATAAAAAATGGATTAACGTGGCATTCAGCAGCGAGAAGTAGAGCATCAATGGCTGATTGCTGACTTTCGGTACTATCATCCTGGCGGCTGTGTAGCTCCGAGGCAAATCGGATGAAGTCAGAAGCCCGTTGCTCACGTTCTGAGGCATCCACTAGTTGGCAGTACTCACTCTTAATATCCCATTCATGCTCATCACTTTTAACGTCAAAGAGCAGCTTCTTTCCTGATTTTCCTTCCAACTTGGCCAGCATATCCAGAAAGTCCTTGTCGTCAATCAAATTTCCCACACTTTCATCGCTTAGGCTTAATAAGGCCAATCCTTTCAGCTCTAGTGGAGCAAAAAGTAGGCTCGCGTCTTCATTTTGCTGGACTTCCACCTTCGAAACAGCTTCAGGTACTGAAAATGTACCAAAATTTCATATAAATCCAAATTGGCAAACGTCAGTTAGACTTGAATAGAACAAAGAAAAACAATCCAAGAAACCACTAATTCACCACCAGAAAAGCAAGACAGTCATGTTCTGCCATCAAAATAATACCAAATTCTGGATACAGAATCATACAGCATGAAAACAAGCACAGAATAGAGTATGTTATCAAAATGAAGTTGGACGTACCACCGGGTTCTTCAGCAGTCCTACCGAAGGTTATCACAGTCATACTATCCGTAGGACTTCCTTCAACAGAAGGACCCTTATCTTTATTACATTTTAGATTGTCAATGCCGGGTGGTAGTGCTACGTGTGGGGCCAATATTGACAAAAGCACACTGCACGCGCAATGCAACACAAAACCAATAGATCGAACATCAAACGCTTAGGAAGTATTCTAATAATAAGACAAATAAAAGAAATGTCTAATGGTAGAAGCAAATAAATAAATCCTGCCTAAGGCGTGCTATGTTGTGAACTTGCTTATATGCTCTCGTTGAGGTATAAATGACAATTATTGAGGTAGACACATTACTGCATGAGTTCAGAAGTAGATAAATAGACCAAAAGAACCAACCAGAGCCGACGTTAATAAGCCTCAAATATAGGTAGATTGAATACTCTAACAAGCCAGTATAAAAAAATAAGCAAGAAAATATCGATAACTGAAGCGAATTTAAGTATTTCTCGCGATGTCGAAAAGCTCATGACGTGTAGCACTTGCGCCGATTAAGGATGTTAGGATGTTCCTCAATGTTTGTCAAATAATTCCTTCATATTGAGAATTCTAGCGTAAACTGTGGATACAATACGATATCCTTTAACAGCGTGTATATTAGTCCTTTCATTTACTACAAGAGAAACTGCTCACGACCTAATGTCGTTGAACACAATCCACAGCTCAACCCTCTTCTGAACCTTCTGCTCTTCGCAACATTGATTTCAGAATAATGTAGACTGGGATAGGAAAAAAGATCCAGAAAACAAAGGTGAAACAACACACCTGGGCGCAACGAGACCCCGCCTCCACTCAGCTTCCATTGCAGGCAAGATGGATGGTTTCTGCAAAGCAGTATGCAGCAACTCCAGGGCCAAAGCACAAGTCTTTTCATGTTTTTCCAAGACTACAGCTGATACATCCCCAAAAGCGATGGTGCTTTTTACTGGTATGATAGCCGGTATCAAATAAGGCTCCAGCATCTCTATCAAAAATAAAAGCTTGTGCTTCACAGTCTACAAAATACACCAATAAATCTAATACCATTAACAGAAGAGGACGTAAATATTCATCACATTATAAACTAAACAGCGATACATAAAAAAATTCGGAGTTTTATACAAAGAGCTGAGATTGCAATTTTATAAATTTACAACATTCTATAACTAGGCGACAGCTCTCAGTAGCAACATACCTTGTACTTACTAAGAATATCATCCACATGTCCAGAAAGAGCTAGCATTATATACAACAGAACTGCACGGGCTTGTGCAGGAGCCTCTTGACCTGCCTGTAAAATTCTGTATCAGATGACTTCCAATGACTTTCAAGTCAAATCGAAATATTTCATTTAATGCATCACGAACGAAAAACACAACGTAATGAAACTGGAGAACTCAAAAAGGAGAATAGTGCCGCTGGAGAGGTGAATGAGTGGGAACTTCCAGGTTGAAGTCTAATCAGACATAAAACTACAGCTGAAGAAGGATGCTTGAAGCAAACGAGAGCGAAACCTGAATGATGCCTAGTAAGTCCTCCAAGAGCTCAATTGCCAAATCAACCTGGACTCCATTAAAAGATCAAGATGACAATGAAGTTAAGATTGCTACGTGAAAAATTATGACTTAACTGAGCAGCGTGAAAGAACTCAAAAGAAACTTCAGCAAGTAGCCAAAACTGTTTTTACAGTGAGATATGCAAGTGAATCTTGAGATATAAAAACGACCATTCAGAAATGTACAGTGGCATTTAAACAGAATGCAATGAAAATTATATACCCAAAAAATTAGATCATTTCACACCTTGGCGATAATCACAGTTAGCCACGGCGCAAGTGGGCCTACACATAAATCAATCAGCACACAGGCTGATTTCTCCTGCAAATAAGAAATCAAAGTCTCTCCATTCAGAATGAAGTAATGAAGTTGAAAAATCTGCTATGGAACTCCCGAAAGCACAAGGATAACCAAATAACAGGAAAAGGGTTATACATGAGCTGGAGAATAAGCAGAAAGGTATCCAGCGCAGGCATCAAGAAGTGGACGATACGAGGGCGCGGTCACTAGCGCCACCACCTACATCCATTAGAAATCAGCCAATCTAGAAATATGTTTAAAATAGCAATTGCAGATTGGATAACTGATGATAAGTACCACACTTTTCATCAAGGTAGTCATAAATCGCTCAAAGTTGTGAACAATCACAGCAACTCCAACAAATTACAGATATCCAAAGACCCATATACAACAACTCATTCATAAAGCTCAACCCACGAAGCTGACCAATCAAGATAGTCCCCATCCAAACCTGATTCAAAGCCCGCTGCACAAGCGGAGCTTGCCATTGCCAAAATGTTTCATCCACGATGTCCGAATTAGCTGCAGTGCTGGATGGGGGACGGAGAGCTGCACACATGAGTAACTAATTCACTTTAGATTTAACGTGAACATGGATTGATATTTTAATCAACAGCCTACATAATACATCGTCAGACTGCTACGTATCCAAATATTACCAGGAAGAAGTGATCGTAGTAGGGGAAGGACAGGTGATAGGTCAGATTTCGCATCCGCTAGCCGTCGAACCATTAGAGGCTGCAATCCAAAGACTCTAAAGTTAACATTTATCAAACCATTACAGAATTTCTTCAAGAATAACTCTATAAAACACAAAAAGAGAAGCTAGGCTTTGTAAAAAGCTATTACGAATGTCAGCATCACGTGAGATAGATAAGCGAACCTGTGTTGCACATGCAAACAGCAAATGAAGCAACGCTTCCTCCACAACAGATATATCCAACGTACTAGCAGAGCTCAAATCTAGACTATCATCGTCTGGAACACAAAACTCCTCCCCAAATAATTTGGAATAGTCGGTTGGTCGCATGGGAGGAGTTTCATTTACTGTAGGGCTCTCTTCATTCCCCGGTCCTACCAAATCTGCGGTTGCTGGTAAAATTTCCGCGTTCAACAGACTTAATTTGCGTAAAAGTCTGGCCACCTGCATTTGAAAGCTATGAATAAAGATTCATGTGCAACTCTAAGGATTATGTACAGTAATGTTACTTACAAAGGATTCCACTTTCAAATTTTTGGAACTTGCAGAAGCTGAAACGCATATTGTTCGGGAAGAGAAAACAAGAAAAAATGGACCTCTTAAACTGCGAATCATCACAATGTGATGGACAATCAAACATATCTCCAATGTAACTCATGCAGCTGATGGAAAATATACAAATTCCGAAAATACCCAAAAGTCCACGTCTAGAAGGGAAGAAGACATGTAGATAAGGCGATGTTGCACTTGAACAGCAGATTATCACCTTCTTACAGACGTTGCTGAGAAAGACGTCCTTGTAAGCGAGTTTCAGCAGCAAAATGACTGAATTCGGCCGCAATGCTAAAGATTGGCTACTAGTTTGGGTAGACAGTCCTGGACTACGGATGCGTTTCGGTGGAGCCTGTCAAAAAGAATAAAACACCTGTAATTAAATCGAGGATTGAAAGATGGATGTAAGAAGCTGCATCTCCAATTTAAGAATGGAATCTGATCTCAACTCATAATCCTGGTATATTGTAATCAAGGCAATATTGCCCAAATACTAAGTTGATTTGAAAAGCTCAATGCTACCTGAAAGTTTGATGAAACTGTAAAGACAGAAGCCAGGCTGTTTTTGCCCGTCTCCTCGTCTACTCCATTGATAGCTGATTTATCATTGTCTCTACAAGATCACATTGTGCTGCCCATTGAGATACCGAATAGAATCCAACCTCAAGCAGCTGTATTAAAAAGAATCATGGAACCTCAGCAACTAAGAAAAATTTTCACACACAAAAAACGAGGGAAATAGTTAATGAAATGATAATAATAAGAAGTTAAAATAAGCAGCTCAACTTACTGACCTAAACAATGCTAAAAACGGGTAAAATGGCCCAACCAACATCGCAAGAAAACGAATAGTTGAATCCATTGCTTCAGTTGAAACTGAAAGGTCCCTCTGCCAAGATAAACCCCGATTGTCGTGAGATTCTCTCTCTCTCTCTCAAGGTCAACCGAAACAAAATTTAAACTTTGTATCAAATTTCGTACAAACTAAAAACTTGTTAAAAGACCTCAAGGCTCACAGTACCTCCAGTTGTTGTAGAAAAGGAGACAACCGGACAGAAATATCTTGAAGTAGCTGCATTCCAAGTCAAGCGAATCAAGTAAGAGCAAACCCCTAAGTTTCAGCTGAAAGTTTCGTTTATCGACGCCATGACTGAGGTATGGACTACACAAGACAAAACTTGCCATGTCAACAAATACATTGAGAAACAGCAACTGAACAAAGTAAATGAAAGAAGAAATAAGAAATCGCACAAATCACCTGCAGTTGTATGTCATGAGGCTCCTTAATTCGAGCAATGATTTGGGGAAGAAAATGGTCCACAACAGGCTGTAACTCTGGTTCCAGACCTGGAACTGATATACCCATAAGCTGCGAGGCAATGATACTAGAATAAATACTTCAAGGATTACGGTATCATGGGAGGTCTAGGAACCGATGAACATTTCTAGCTATTACATCCCACCGCAACACAAAAACTACCTTAAAGAATACGAATATAAGTTTCGCATTAGAACTTTAGTAGTTGGAAAACATGGTTTCAATGGCAAAAAATACTAGTCTCCAGTTCAAACAGAGGAATGGGGCAAACGTATCTTAACATCACCAATTGCGGAACTGATACCTAAATTTACAGCAAAATCTGACTAGGAACTAACCTGAACATGAAAGATGGCGATTGGGTTGCCCCGCAAACAGGCAATTCGCACATATCGACATGGCAGGTGACCTATGTTGTAACTGATGTCTCTTCGAGGTGCCTCACATCGGGGCCGGACTTTCAGAAATGTTTCTGGCTGCTTAATACAGAATCTACGGTATCAGATAGACAGAAACAGAAACGCAGACTGCTTACAAAGATTAAGGTTTCATCTCCTGAAGCTGTCACCATGTCTTGCCAGCGTACGAGAGATGTATTATTCAAACTAATTTTGGCACATGGTTGGAAGAATATGTCCGTAAAAACAAACATTCATGTGGCATCCTACATATAGACGGTCTGAGCATAGAGTTCAATCTATACAAGCCTGTAACTTTAGGTCTACTAGCTAACTGCGTGTAAATAATCTTGTACCAGCACATGAGCTATTACATGCTCTCGTTTATCAGGTAGGACTCTCAACAAGGATGAATTCGGTCACCGAGGCTCAGAAGTTACCTTATTACGAAGACTAATAGAAATTTCCCATTCCAGAACTGACTTATTATGAATCCGAATGTGAGATAATAGGCAACTCTCCTGCCAAAGACACACCACTCCGTTAGCTTTGCATTAACGTACTTCAAATGTGTAACTCTTGATGAAAGACAAAATTATTATCGTCATATATCCTAAACGAGTTGGCATTATGCTGCAACAAAACGTTCAGGATCAAAATGCATCTAGGAGATGCAATTCTAACCTTCAGAATACTGAATTCTTTCACACACAATAACGCATTGTAAGCGATAAGAAAGATAGGACACCGACAGATTCAGTGCCGAAAGCCCTGATGTAGAATACTAAATGAACAGCACGCGGAAAATAGAAGGCTACGAATGCCACAACAGCACAGAACATGCATAGTTAACTTTCAGAACCACCCTTTGCAAGCAAGTTTGTGGAATTAACGTCATGAAATAGCTACAACTGCTCACATTTCCATCTATGACCAATATGCAAAGTCACATGTCTCCACCAAGCAACTCAGTAGCTGAGTCTCAATTCAAAGTAGCATTTTCTCTGACAGAAGGGAATCCTAAAATTCCTGCACTCCGTCTATTCCTCAAAGAAATTCTGACGCAAAACCGGGGCGTGTGTGCGAACGAAATTGTGACATGAAACGTTTAATTTAAAGTTGAGATACATTACTAGGTACGCCAAAAGAGGGTACATTAATGAATTCTAACAATGGCAGTCATAGGAATACCACTCACAGAATCAGAAGTGCCAATCCAACCACACCAATTCATCCTAATCACTTGGCAAAGGAAATTCAGAACCCAGCCCAGATGAAGTAGATCGTCTCACCTCCAACTCAAGAAGAATCCACTCTTTAGCATTAGTGCCAGTGGACCAATGCGTGCGGAGGTCGGAATCAAGTATCTGAGAAGCACGTTGCGCCTGGGACTCTTTCGAAGCCGCACGAACTTTGTACCCCAGCGATTTCACCCTCCCTTCTGCCTCAACCTCAGAGTTCATACCTTGCCTCTCCATCGCTACACTACTCAACGTCGCACTAACCGACAGCACTACTACCTTACACACTCACCTAAAATGCTCACACAGCCAAAACCCTACTCATACTTGTCCCGCGCTTTCGATGTATCGAAAACCCTATTACAAATCGGCATCAATTTCCAGGGACATCCGACGCACATTGGGGAGGCACAACCTACGACCAAATATTCCGCGATCAGCAACAACACCTGCTCCTGCTCCTCCTTCGACTCCTCCAACCCTGTCACGTAGACTTCCACTTCAAGTCGCGGTATCTCAAAGGCATCGAAGAAAAGCGGGAGTTCCCCTGCCGAAGCTCCTGCTGCGCCTCGCGGCTGTGGGGGCAACATCCCATGACCATCGACACAGAAACCCACGGTTCGTAACACTAACTAACACTTGCTCCGTGGAAGCAGAAGAAGAAGAAGAAGCAACAGTCTTGGATGTACTGAGCAGGACACAAACCCCTACAGTAATGAATACCTGAACACAATCAGGAACGCGATCTGTTGAAACTCAATATTTTATTATTTTCTAAAAACATATTATATTCCATTTAAACAAATATCTTTTAAAAAACAAATGATATATTTATTTCTTTATTTATAGATTCTATCATGATGTTCCTTCATAATTGTAATTCATACGTAAATAAATAAATGATGGATCTTTGTAAAAAAATAGTCAAAAGTATTAATGATATTAACAAATATTCGTTGCTCATTAATAATGAAAATCTATATATTTTGCGTGAATTGAAGAATAGTATCATGTTTTTAAATTTGAAATTTTTATGGATAAAAATAGATAAATAAATAAAATAATTGGATTTTCTTTAGAAAGGTTTTAAGCATTTGTTTAAAGCCTATCTTTTCTAAAATCTAGTTTGTCTAAAGTATGATTTCAAATACTTGTATCAATGACATGAATTTCAAACAAAGAAAAATTCAATACACTTTCATGTCACTCAAAAAGAGTAGATATTCACTCAAAACTAAGTGAAGCATGATTACAAGCTCTTTAAGCTCATCACAACTTTCTAGTTACAAGATATTTATGATATAATAAGACCTTAGAATTGATTTCAAGAGATTTTTGGTGGCCTCAATTGTGGAAGGCAATCAAAGACTTTATAAAACCATGTGATATTTGTTGAATATTAAAAACTCCTCATCATCGACCTTACAAAATTTTACAATCATTACCTATATTTGAACAACCATGGTCTTTTGTTTTATGGATTTTATCATGTATCTTTCAACTTCAAGTTTATATGACTCTATATTTGTGATAGTAGATTTTTTTATTAAGATGGTATATTTAATATTATGTACAAATCTATCATTGGTGAAGAAATAATTAAATTTTTCTTTAATAATATCTATTGCTAATATAGATTGCCAAAAAATATTATATCTAATATGGTAATCTAATTTCTATTATAATTTTAAAATAAAATAAAAAAAAGATATTAGAAGTAGATATAAAATTATTTTTAATGTTTCATCCTCAAATTGATCAACAAATAAAACAAGTGAGCAATATTTGCAATATACCATAAATTACCATTAAGATCATTGCACAATTCTTTTGTCGTTGACTAATTTTTCTTATAATAATATAATACATTTTTCTACTCAAAAAATATTTTTATTATGCTAATTATGATTATCATCTATACCTTGATACTTTTGACTTTTTAAAAGTTAACAATCCTATGGCAAAAGATTTGATAAATCATTATCAAAATTATATGCAATAATAAAAATACAATTAAAAGAAGCTCAAAAATAATAAAAGATCAATATAAATGCCTATTGTAAGGAACAACATCAATTTTATGCTAGCAATAAGATTTGGCTACTTTATCATAATATTAGAATTTGTTGCTTTTGTAAAAAGTTAGATTATTGTAGACTTAGATCATTTTTTATTTGTGATGAGATTAATCTAGTTGCATTTTGATTATATCTATCAAAATCTATGAAGATCCACCTTGTGTTCCATATGTCTCTCTTTGAGCCATATAAAACTATAAATATCTTGGAAAAAAGACAAATGTCACTTCTTTCTATAGAAGTAGATAATAATCAAGAATTTGAGGTGAAAGAAGTCTTAAACTCAAGATAACTCCAACTTATATTAGAATATCTTGTTCATTGGTGCAATTATGATATTAATGAATTCACATTGGAGCCAACTAAAAATCTTACAAATACAACAAAGAAAGATAAAATGCTTCATCAATAATTTTAATTAAAATTAATATTAAGAATCAAGTAATTTCTTGCTATAAAAAAATGATGTTCAATAAAAGTTGCATTCTATTTTTTATCCTTATTTGTAGTTTCTTTTTGTATTGTAAAAGAGATAAAAAACTAATAGCTAGAAAATTCAACTTAAAAATTATTATTTGCAAATTTATTAAATAAAACAGTGCAAATATCACAATCTTCAAACAATGTAATAGAAATGAAGATCTTCAAAAATAACGTTTTCTTTTTCAAATAAATGACAAGATATAATAAGTTTGGCATCACAACCTCAAAAAAGACTTCTGATATTTGGTACTATTATTAGAGATAGAAACCACTTTGATGATATTATAAATATTTTATTTAAATAAATTTATAAAGGCTTTAACAAGGATCAAATATCAAAATGATCTTCATGCCTTGGTTTGAGATATTATCAATGGATTAGAGAACCTATCAACTACCTTCAAAAAGAACAAAGATTAAAATATGGAGTAAATATAGTTGGATGCATCTTAGACTTCTTCAATATGCAATCATTGCTTCTTGCAAAACTTGTTCTTAGAAGAGAGAATAATGTCATAGAAATCCACATTCACTTGAATAATTACTTAAATAATATAAATAATATAAATAATATAAATATATAAAAATAGATAAATTTAATATCATCTTGTAGAATAGCTTTTTAGAAACTTCATAGATGGAACTTTGCCTTTATATATGTCTATAGGTGATTGATAGGTTAAAAATTTGGCAAAATATTGACCACATATTATACATATTGGTGACTTGTGGTATAAGTTGGACATTTAGGGTACATATACAAAGCTTATCTTATAAGTTAGAAACATATCTTGCAAGTTGGATATGCAACATATATATAAGAAGCTTTTCTTATAAGTTAAAAATATACCTTGCAAGTTGGATATATATTGGAGGTCTTATAGAACGTTACTATATAACTCCTAATTGGGTAGTATATATAGAGGCAAGACTGAGGCCTTTATCACTCTTATCAATTCTTTTTTGCTTTTAATCTATTTTTAAGAATCTCTAATTTTATTATCTTTTGGTAATAGTCATATCAATTTATTTTTGAAAATACATATTTTTTTTTTAAAAAAAATATTTCTTTTACAAATATTTTACTTATTTATTTACATTCATCAAATTCTTTTGCTTGACATAATCTTAGTCCTCTTCAATTTGGATATTTGTATTTTAAAGATAAGCTCTTTAACATACTAGAAACTATAACATACAGAAAAGATAGATAATGTAGAATGGTTTGATAAACAAAAACACACTATAATAGATATTGGCTCTCTTTCAAAATTCTATGTAATACTTGCCTCTAATTGTCTTTTAAATTAGATATCTTAAATAAGAAAGATGTAAATAAATCTTAATTATAAAATTATAATAAGTTAGATATCAAGATGAACATGTTGCAAGTTGAATTGGGGTTGCAATTTTAGACAACTTTGCATACATTGCATCTTCAAATAAGTCTTTTTAAATTGGTGTTAGTTCAAAAAAACATGCAAAAGGTTATAAAAAAAATTGGATTGAATTTATTGTAAACTTATCCACATTATATCAAAAATTAGCCAGTCACAACTCTTATTTGGAAGGTGAATAGAAACAATTTGGATCTTACAAGACTTGAGATATAATAAAATAATGTTGACCAATGCGCATTATAAGAGCCAACAATAATCTTAGGCAATAATCCTAGCATCATAGAAAGATCATAAGTTATAATAATAAATAAATCATGCAATAAGTATAAAAAGATGTTATATTTATTTTCTAAAAATAAAATAGATGAATTTTTTTTAATATAGATTATTAAAAATTATTCTTAAGAGAAATAATTTTCACTATCAAGTTAATTGTTATTACAAAGGATCTTATTAAGATCCTACATTATTAGAATCTTTTCTTAAAAGACTCCAATTTACTCATTGGCAATCTAAAATAAAATATTAACAGGTCTCAAACAACAAACAAGATCTCCATAGCCATATTCTTTGATAAATTCAAGACAATATATGCGAAGATTAATCTAGTAGGGTAAGACAATACACTTCTACTATGCATTATAGATGCATGTTCTTAAGAAATTTACTTGAGAATTGAGACATACTTGGTAAAGAACATTGCAAAAATAGGAATAAAGTAGAATTAATTAAAGCTTTCTTATAGATTCGAATTTTTATTGAACAACCTACATTTTCTAATTCAATGTCTCTAAAAATAAGTCTAACTAATTTTACATACTAAGTCAAACTTCATTACTTTTTATGATACTTATAAAGATCCTAAGTCTTATAATAAGTATAAAAAAGTACAAAAGTCCAACCTTAAATATATAAGTTTTACTTATTTCTATGATTATAAATATTAATTAAAAATTATTAATATTTATTAATATTAAAATAAACTTTAAAACTTACTTCGTCTATGCTTTCTTAAGTTAAAAAGACAATGAGAAAGATGTTTCTTGATCAAAAGATCAAAGAAGATTCAAATCTTAAAGATAAAAGCTTGTAATTAAAGCCGTGAAATATGATTTTTTTGCTTCAAATATCCTATGCATTTAAATCTAAATTTAAATATATAAGTTTTAAATAATTTAAAAAAAATATTGAAACTTTGTAATTATTTTTAAAATATTTTTTTGATATGAAATATTATATTTCTTTTAAAGTAAAAATTATATAAATCAATGACTTAAAATTTAGGCCATTGTAATTTTTATATCTATTCTATAAAAGAAATTCTAATATATATAGAAAAATGCCAAAATTATAAGAATTGGAAGTATTTATACCTTAACATCTCTAAAAATTAAATATTTATTTAATAATATAAATGCTATCATATATAATAAAGTACTATGAATTATTTTCAAGGAAAAAAATCCAATAAAAATAAATAATCAAGTGAGACTTTTTTCAAAGAAATATGACAAAATAAAAATAAAAAACATGTATATTAAAAACAAATTAGAATAGATATTGACAAAAGATAAGAAAATTAAAGACTCTTGAATCTAGTCTATAATAAGAAAAGAGTTGACAAGAATAAAGAAAGCTTCATTCTTGCTTCTATATATATTATCTACCTAGGAA